TTTAACGAAGAAGTAACAGTATTGTCATCTCTGGCTGAATCACATAAAATCCTTAAGAAACTGCCAGAAAAAGGAAAGAAAAAACTAAAATTAATAGACGAATTAGAAAAATTACTCAATACAAATATTAATACATCAAGCAATACATTTCTATATAGTAATATTTGGAAAATGAAACAAAATATAATACCATTCATGTACATCATGCAAAGCATAGATGCTCAAAACTATAAATAATATCACTGAGAGAAATTAGGAAAACCCTAGACATGGGAAGAGGAACATGTCACATCTCTTCAGGCTAACTTACGGGACAGCCCGCCAGCATCAGACACCACGTGTTCCTGGTTCCTGACTGCACTGGACACTGATCTCTTCTCCCACCTACATGGCCTCCCACCCACGCCAGGACCACCTGGATGGCTTCACAGACTTCTGGAGGCCCTCAAGACTTCAGCCAGAGACTTCATACCCAGCCCTGTGGGTGGCTCCCTGTCGCCCAGGAGGTTTGATGATTCAAGTCCCTATGTCCCACAATGCTCCCTCCTGCCCCTCCAGTCTCAGTTGGGTGCTATTCTCCAACTGCAGTGTGGGAAGTTCATGGCCTGCCCCCACTGATCCTCTGCCAATCAAGGGGCATGCCCAGTGCTACCCCATGTTCATCTGTCAAACCCTTGTCTGGCTGTCTAGGTTACCTGTGTGTAGACAGTCCTCCCTAAGGGATCATGTGCTCCATGGTAGGAGTTGCTGGGCATCTACCCAACATGTGCACTCTGGTGTCGAGGATGAAGCGGGGGCGGGGGCTGATGAAGAGATGGGGGGCGTGAATAACCCTCCTGCCTGGCATTTGCTGGGCCTGGAGGAGGGACAGGCCCAGGTAAGCTGGGACACAGATTCACAGGCACACTGTCGTGGTGAGCTGACATGACACCTGTCCAAGCCCTGGGCACCCAAACGCTGGTCCCTGACAATGCACCCCCCACCCAGCCCAAGCCAAATGCACCTTTCCAGGAGGTGGACTCCTAGAGAGCTGCAAAGGAGCAAGTATTCTAGCAGCTGAGGGTGAGCCTGGTCTACGGCCTGGCCTGGGTGAGGGCTCCATGTGTCCTCGATGAGGCTCACACCTGTGTCCCCTGTGACCTGAGCCAGCAGGCCATGTGGCTCCAGACCAGATCTGTGGCTGCACTTCTATGTGGGAATGACCTCTCTGGGGACCAGAGGGGAATGGCCTGGGGATTTCAGCACTGAGTGCCCAAAGCTCCCAGATGAGGTATGAGCTCCTCAGTGGACAGGCAGAAGGTTGAGTGCTCCCAGCTGGCAAGGCCAGCCAGCCAGCCAGCCAAACTACCCCACCAAAGCCTGCCCATCCAAATTAGAAAATTCCCTCTGACACAGCTTCTCTATCAGGGCTCTGTGATGGCTCCAACAGCCTCAGTGTATCCCCAAGTATAAAATGACTCTTCCATTAATTTCAAATAGAGGTAAAGCTGGCTTAAATCTAGTAAATATTAGAGTTTGAAAAAAAAAAAACAAAAAAAAAACAGAAAAAAGAAGAGGCATATCTGGGAGGCTGAGTAAGGGTTATGAATGGGAAAGGGGAGGGGGAGGGGTGAAGCGGAAGAAAGGGGAAATAGGGAGAGGAGAGCAGGGACCGAGCATCTGTTCCCCAGTGGGCCTGTGCTGCTCACAATACCTCTGACCAGCCCACCCCACCTGTCCCATCCAGGCCCCTCTGTGGCCACCTGCTTTCAGGGCACCAGGACACCATACTCACCTAGAAGCTCTGGGCCTTCAAAGTTGACTGAGGTGTGGAATGGGGAGGGGTGAGGAAGGACGGAGGGCCTTCCAGGACTGGGCAGTGCACAGGCTCCTGAAGAGGTGCTTACCTACCACCTGGGAGTAGGAAGTTGCCTTGGGAAGGGGCTGGGCTGCTGGAGGCCAAAGTCTCCCAGGAAGACCAGGAAGGCAGTATTCCCTCACACACACTCAACCTGCTTGTCTGGATCTGCCAGCGCCACCCATATCCCTTCCTGCCACCACATACATGGTCCACATCCACACAGGCTGCCCAGTAGGTCCTGTGAGGCCTGGATTGTAGCCCTGGACACCACAGAAAGGCCAGATCCACAGAGATTCCTCAGCTCTTCCCACACTCCTCAGTCCCTCCCCTCGGGGCTACTGTACACACAGAGTGGCTTATAAATGACACATTTCTGGAGGCTTGAAGTTTTCTAAAGCCAAGGTCTTGGAGATCCAGTGACTAGTGAGGGCTGTCTCCTGGCTTCCACGTGGCCATCTTCTTGCTCGCATGTGGAGGGGGTGGGAAGGAAGCTCTCTATGGCCCCTTTTAGTTGCCTTGGTCCCCCTCACCCCAGAGCTGAGGGCCTGCACTAAATCCCCAACCCTCTATGGTCCCTTTTATAAGGACACTGTATCGGATTAAAACAACTAAAGGACCAGATGTAGTGGTTCATACCTTCCCAGCAGAGGCAGACAGAGCTCTGAGTTCCAGGCCAGCCTGGCCTACAGTGAGTTTGAGGCCAGCTGGGGTTGCATAAGGGGGACTGTCTTAAAATAATAACAACCAAAACAAACACATCTAAATGATGCAGTTTATTTGGCTCATGAAAAGGGATACGGTCCATCATGAAGGGAAAACACAGCAACTGGATCATGACGTAGCCGGCACATTACATCCACTGCCGGGAAGCTGAGGTAATTCTGGTATTCAGTTCACCCTCTCCATTTCACTGTGTTTTAACCCAGCCCACGGACAGTGCTGGGTAGTTTCCCTGTTTCAGTTAATCCTCAGGAAACCCCCTCAAAGACATGTCTCTTGCGTGATTCTAAATGCCACAGGGTGGACAATCAAGAGAATCACTCAGGCAGTCATCTCACGAAGGCTCCACTGTGTCCTATTCACATTCCCAAGGCACCATCTTGGGGTTGGGGGAAGACACTCAGGCCCTGGCAGTACCCCGTAGCCTTAGTGGGCCATCTCCTGCCTGCCCTTCAACAGCCCTCAGAATCCACCCTTCCAAACCAGGGCTGCCCCTGGGCAGTAACGCCTGGTTCCCCAAACCCCTGCCTGAGCCTGGGACTCCTGAGGACAAGGCAGGCAGGAGAGTCCTGCTGAAATGGTCCTGTGATCCCCAAGAGAGAGTCACAGCTTGATGGTGCCCCCTGGAGGCCACTAGGTGACCCACACCGAGGCGCAGCAGCTGGGGTGCTCTAGCTGTCCCCAAGATGCCTCCTTCAAGAGCCACGGTCAACAAGCCAACTGGCAAGATGCAGTGGCTGTGTAACTCAGAGCAGGGGTATGGGGATCTAGAAGCCTCCAATCCCTAAGTTCTGTGCTACCAGGTCTTACTGAGCGAAGGCTTAGTTAGAAAGAAATACCCTCGGGCAGCCCAAGGACTACTCCTGCTAGCCAAGGGAAGCCAGAGACACACTATAGGTTGGGGGGGGGGGTGTCTCTCCTATAAGCTTTCTGGGGTAGGCAAGTCCTTCCCCAGGGTCCCCCTGCAATGTCCCTAGAGTTATTACCAAAACAGACACTGCTGGAGGTGAACAGCAAACAATAAACAAGTTAGCTTGGGGAACAAGCAGGAGTGTTCTGTGGGGAAGGGCTGCTGTGGCCGTGTGCAGCAAGACCCTAGGGTCTGCTTTAGCATGGACAAAATTTGCTCAGGTGAGAGTCTGGTAGAACCCAAAGGTGGAGCATTTCAGCCCCATGGGCAACACTCCATCTGTCCTTGGACCCTCCAAAGATTTAATTTGGGTGGCTGGGGCTGGCCAAATGTCTAAGGCTCACTTCCATCCACCCAAAACAAGCTGCCCCAAATTCTGTTCATGTATGCTTCTGGAGAACTGGACCCAGGCTGAAAAAAGTGATAATCTGGGCTGTGGCACTGGGTCACCCACTACCCATGGACAAGGACTAGTCACTGGCAATGGAGGAGATAGCACGCCCTAACCCAGGGGTGACCGCCCTGTCTGGTCCAACTGTTGTTTGCAGTGATGCTCAATCACATCCTTGGGGGATGAGGATGTGCTGCGGGGGAGGGGGCAGGGCTCAGCACACCATATCTAGATGGAGAGACTGCAAAGACCAAAGAGGAGCCCAGGGCGACAGGGATGGCTACCCCAGGAGCAGCTGCAGGTGGGTTTGGTGGAAGACCACAAAGGTCCAAAAGCCAAGGTCACATCCTGCTAAATCCTTAGGCCTGCTCCTACCCTAGTGAGGTTAGTCCTGCAGGGCAGGTTGTGGCCACAGGAACTGCCACTACAGGGCTTGGCACACCAAGGGTGGTGGAATGCAGACCCTAAAGAGAAGTCAGGTGATTGCCCTTGTCTACCCAATCAACATGGCAACACCGAGGGCACCAGAACATACCACAGGAGTTCTGGCATATCAACAGGAGTGAGGTAGGAGCCACTAATCAGGCACTTGGGAAAGCCAGTTAAGGATAGAGAGGGTGGCACCTCAGTACTGTCCCAATCCTGCCCCAAGAGACAATGCTCCTATTGCCACAGCAGTGTGATCAGGAAACACCCCCCCCTGCCCCCGGCTGTGGCCCTTTCCTCCAGGCTTGTGTACTTGGGAGTGGGATGTTCAGGCATTTGGCAGTCTCTAGACCATGGATCCTGCCTATGTTGACACTGCTCATCACCACAGTGGTGCACAGGAGGTAGTTGATAATAGTCTAGCCAGAACCAGCTTGTGGGAGTCCACGAGGCCTAACTCACTGCAGCTAATCCTAGACTCCAAGCATCTAACTGGGATTAACTCATGACGGACCGACACCCTTATACCACCACTGGGGTCAGACGTCCCAGTCCAAGGGGAAATTGTAGTCAGAAAAGGCAAAGTAGGACAGCAAAACTCAGCCTCAGATTCTTCTCCTTCCCACCTCTCACCTCACTGTGCTGCTCTCACCTTTCAGCACCACAGCTGGCTTCTTAGAAGCCGATGAAGCCTTGGGCTTCGTGGAACAAGATCAAGTCATAAATTATTCATGTTTATTTACAAATTCGTCTTAAAAATATTTCAAGTAATAGTTTTCAACATTTGTCATAATCTTCCTGCCTGGTAAAAGTCCTCTGGAGTCAGAAAGGATGTGAGGGCTCTGCAAAGTCCTCTGCAGCGTGTCTGGGCCCCTGGAATTTCCTGGTCTCTACTGAGGAATAAAGATGCCTCTTGGAATTCTTGCCCCTGCAGCATGGCTTGACCCCAAGTTGGCTTCCATCAAGGGCAGAGCACCTTGCTTCAACCTCAGGATATACAGTCACCCCTCAGAGCTGAGAGGTGACCTCGGCTCAGCAATGGCTGGAGGTGTGATTGATGTTGAGTAACAGTCGCTGCAGGCCACAGCCTGAGCCAGCATGTGGGTCGTCACATCAGGTTCTCATTACTGCCATGAAGGAGACCTGAGGGGAGGAGGAGAGGTCAGGCCCTAGTCTCTGCCCTGCTGCCTTGCCCTTCCAACCACTCCAGGGGTGAGACTCAGCCCCAGCTCCCAGGTCCTTGGAGGTGACTCTTGGGGCGAGGTCACACTTCCCAGGGTCAGCAGCAGCTGCTGGATGAAGCACCTCACATCTCAGAAAGAGGTTGCCTACGTCAAGGCTACTGGGAGGGGCTGAGAGAACCAAGATTCCAGAGGACCAGGCAGCTGCAGGCAGGTAAGCTGAGCTAGGGGTACTTCATACAAACCTCCTGGAGGAGCTGGCCCAGCATCTCCTGGCTGTGAATAGATCGCCTGTGGAGAGAGTGTCAGGTCATCCCACAGACCTGCCTTGCGTGCCTCATATCAGATCCAGGCCCTCTCTCCTAGGCATGGAGTCCCAAGGCCCACATGCCTGCCTCTTGCCTCTGCCAGGACAGCAGAATCTTAGGTGTTTAGGGCAAGCAGAAGGGAATAATGGGAAGACATTAAGTGCTACAATCCTGAAGTCCTCAACGCCCTCTAACATCCAAGTCCTGGAGTCATACCTGTCTATTCTGGTTGCTATGGTCACTGTGAAGGTGCCCTCTACATCTGGCAGGTAAGTGGAGGGCACAACCTTGTAGGTCCCTGTAGACAGGAGGCAGAGCCTGCTTACTTCCTGGGTGTAGCGATGTGGCACACAGCTTAGCAGTGGCTCCTGGAGCAACAGGGAGCCTGCATCCTGGTCTTCACCACCTACTGGAACCTGAGGGATTGTGGCATCAGCATGGGGAGACCTGCACAGGGTGGCTCCTGTGTGCTCTCCCTCCACACGGCCCTAGCTGAGGGCATGCTGCCAGGGTCACCAGTAGCTGCTGGGGCCCCTGATACTACTAGTGCTCCAGCCATGCATACCCCTTTGCCAACGAGCAAAGCCATAGAGCCAGGCCACCCTGGCCAGTGAAGAGCACCAGATCACCAAGGGCCAGTTTTACACACTAACCACTAACCAGGCCTCCCAGGCAGGGGCTCTTTTTAGAACTCCATATGGCCTGGCCCAAGATTTCAGGAATCTCCTTCCAGCTTCCTGGGATGCACTCATAAAACCCCTGTCCCCCATCCTCCACCCTCACCCTGACAAATAGAACCCTCTGGCTGAGAAAATCCTGCGTTCTCCTCCCCAAGTCACCTACATTCCAGGTACACATGCTTCAGCCCAACACAACGAACACTGGTGTAGCCCAGGACACCCTCAGGCAATGCTCACCCTGAAGTGGGGCCCCAAATGAACACAGCCTCATGGGGTGGAGTCTCCTTACTGTCATCATGGAATGTGTAGTCTGTAATCCCTGATCTCTAGTACAGTTCATCTCCAACTAAAAGTCTGCCCTGTGTGTTCCCGACTGCTGGTTAAAAGGTAAAATAGGGCCAGGTCAAGGAAGCAGCGGGGGGTCTGAGACTCACTGATCCTTCACAGTCTGAGCAGGCTGCAGGTAAGAGTGGCTGGCTGAGAGGCTGACACATGCAGGGCTCCTTGGCCACAAGAGCAGCTCCCAGGCTGAGGCCCCTTGGTGTCACCTCTTGCCCTCATCTTGGCTAGCCTGGCCAACAACCCCACTGCAGAGTTGCTGAGTCACATGCCCAGGGGTCGGTCTCCAACTTGTCTCAGTGCTGGCCTGGGTAGGGATGAGCCCACCTGCAGGCTTGTGCAGACTCGGGTGCCACAATGAGATGGAACAAGTCTGAGCAAGGCTCCTAAGAGCTCTCTCTCGCTCAACCATGGCGGTGCCTGTATGGAATTCTCGGGGCTTGCTGACTGACTAGCGCAGCAGACTCATGCTATCTGCTGTGGCCAAGCATATGAGCCTCCTCCCTTGCCTGTTCTGGATGCTATGGCTCTCCAAGAGAAGCCCAGATCATGACCTCTCGCTCTGCCTGCTTCCCTGACACAGCTCCTGACAGCCCCGCCTGGAATACTTGGTGACAGGGGAAGGAGGAGGGGCTGTAAGACCTGGTGTGGTCCATGAGTGTGTGACCACTGCCTGTGGTATTAGTGAGGCTTCCCTGCGGTAACTACCTGGGACCACATCTACCTCACGGTGGGCCTGGGCCTCTGCCTCAAAACCCCCAGAGCAGACCCCAGACCCGGGATCCCAAGGCAGGAGGCACATCCTGGGTTGACTGCCCTCAGACACAGGAATTCTGAGCTGGGTAAGCTGTTCAGACTCCAATGAGTACAGACTTTGTGAAACCTGAAAGCTTGTTTTCCCTGAGGCCAGCTGGCTGGGCCACCAGGCCCAAATGACAGAAGCCAGTCTTTGTATCACAGCAGATGCTGAGACCAGAACAGATTCCCTGGGGGCCTCTCTGAACACCCAGCTCACCTGGAAGACATGGAAGCCAATAGGGTGGAGCTGGCTGTCACTGAGCTGGCAGTGTTGCTGCAGGGTGATACGGACGTACCGAGGACCAGCATCCTCAGGAACGGAGAATGGGAGGCAGGGGTTGCGAGGGTAAGAGGCAAAGTTCCTGCTGCCCCCAGCTGTCTGGCCAGCTCTCCAGCAGCCCTGCAGCTGCACGGTCTCCCACTCGCCTGCAGGCAGGGCTGTTCCAGGCGATGAACCCTTGGTGGCTGACCTGACAACACTGGTTAGGAGGACAAGCACAGAGAGTGCTGGTAGCCTGCGCCAAAGGAGCCAGCCCACGTCCTACTCTCACACCCAGCCTCTGCTCCTCCACAGGCCTCAGTCCAACTGGAAGCCCAGCTAATCCTGGCTCCTCACCTGAGGGACACTTTCCCAGTGGAGAAGACTCGGAGCAGGAACTGTCCTGGCACATCCTTCAAGAAGGTGCTAGGCACAGCCAGGTAGTAGCCTGGGGAGAGCTCGCAGCGCAAGTGGACCTCACGGTCATATGCATGGCACGTGGTGCCAGCCACAGGGGGTGCAGAGAGGACCCTGGGCAGGCTGACCCGCCGCTTCTCCACCTGGGAGAATGAAGGCAGAGGCTCTGAGGAGAACTTTATCCACATCCTGGGCCTCTGCATTCCTGTTCCAGGGGAGCTCCCAGGAGAGAACCCACACATCCATCCTCTTGGGGTACTGCTGGGAAGTCACAGAGCCAGGGCTTCCCTCCACTTCAGTGCCAGACACAGCAGATAAATCCAAACCACTACACTCATAAAGCCTGTGACCAGTGCAGCCTGGAGACTGCTGGACAAGGCACTTTCCAGTAACGTTTCTTGCAAGAGGAAAGGACCATAAGGTAGGCCACATCCACAAAGGAACAATGATCAGTGGTGTGAGTTGTCAGGTATTATCAAGATACATAAGATTAAAATCTAGTCACTGAGTAAGTGAGCAGCAGCCTCTGACCCACCTGGCCAAGGATACAGCTGATTTTAAAAATTGGCCAAGTGTCTGAGACTGATCTGAGAACAACCCTCTAGGTTTATAAGGTTGTAAGGGAAGAGATGGAGGAAGGGGGCAGGCAGAGGACACAGGGCAAGTGGCAGCCCTGGTCTGGTGGGAGACTCCTCACTTGGGGTGGCTCCACCCACACAGTAGGGCCTGAGGGTTGAGGGAGTCAGACTAGCTTCTGCGTCCTCGCTAGGGTGGGTGGACTTTGAATCGGAGCTGGGTGTGTCAGGGGATCAGAGGTGTCTGAGGCCAGACGACAGAGGACTATGGGGAAAGGGATCTATGCCCAAGCGTGTGTGGTCCTGAGACCCAGGCCTCCCATAGGTCTGCACATCTGTCCACTACAGGATAGGGCCATCAGATGGAGTTACCTTCCAGATGTGCAGGCCCACAGCCTGGTAGTCCTTGCTCAGAAGGTTCACTGGTGCTGGGCTGGCACTCACCAGTGCCCGAAGCTGGCCCACTGAGCACCTCCGGGGTCTCTGCAGGACAGCCACACATACCTCACTGGGTTCCAGGAGCCGCAGCCAGAACTTGGGGTTGCAGGGAAAGCAACTGTTGTTCCGGCAGCCTCCGGCTGACTGCCCTGGAACCCAGGCACCAGGCAGTGCCTGTGCATGGCACAGCACCTTCTCTAGTGGGGGAGATATGCATCAGCTTCAAGAATCTTGCTGGCCCTGTGACACCCATGGGCTGAAGCAAATATACCAGTGGCAGTCAGCCCACCCTCCCCAAAGTCCACCACGCCCCTTCTCCAGGCCCAGACAGTGAGTGAGGCCTAGAGAGGGTTGTATCCGGAGTTACTGGTTGCCTCCTGCTCAGGTTCCTGACTTCAGAGGGCAGAGTCCACTTCTGCTTGTCCTACCTGTGTAAAGGCTCTGCAGGTGGCCAGCCTTTGTGACCGGGTAGCCAATGGTGACCTCATCAAACTCCCTGAGAAACTCCTCTTCCTCCATCCAGAACTCCCCTTCCTGGAGCTGTGACAGCAGCTCAGACTCCTCGGCTGGCTCCACCTGGCTCCACCCTTTGCCCCTGCAGGAAACCTCACTTCAGTGCAAGCTCCTGAGAAAGATGCGTGTCAGCTGGCAAGCAGGGCAGAGGAAACCTGGGGGATAGAGAGCCCCAAGTTTCTGCCAGCATCATCTGCATGGCCCACTCCCTTGCTAAGAAGTGCCCTATGGGAGGTGCTTTCTGTGTAGTGGCCGTGCATCAGAACGGACGTCCTTACCTGAGAATGTGCTTCTTCCCAGGGCTTTCACACCAGAGTCCTGACCCTTTAGTCTCTGAAGGAGTAGCCACACTGAGGAGTACACTGCTGTTGTTTAGTGGCATCAGGCCCAGCCTGGGCTCGGGGGTAGTTGGAATCTAGGAGCTTTGAAGCAGCTCCAGACTTCAAGGGGATCCTGGCTTAGTTGGGAGGGTCTTAAAACTGAGCTGAGATCTTTGGCTACAGGCCACCCCTAAACTCCTGCTCATCCCAGAGCCTAGTCAGGCATATGCCATCCTGTAGGTGCCCAAGACAGAACCCCATACCCTTAAAATCACCAAGGTCCCATGGTCTTACAGATCTCTTGAGCTGCAGACAGAGCATGGAGGTGCACAAGCAGGTGCTAGGCTTTGCCACAAAAAACCAAGCACTGCCCTGGACATGACCACGGCACAGACCGGGGGGTGGGGGGATGGGATGTGGGTGCCCCTAGGGTCTCAGTCCCTCCTCCAACATCATAGTCCTCCTGACACTCACCCCTCTCTCCAGAGCCCCTGCCAACAGCGCCGACCCCATGGGTTCTGAATCCGCAGCAACAGGATACACCGGCCAGCCTGACTCCAGAGCTCCCGCAGATCTGAGACAATGAAGGCATGGAACTCCCCCAGCTCTCTGGCACCTGTGAGAATAGCTCAGTCGTGTGCAAGAACAGCATCACCATGTGCCCCAAATGGACAGGATACACAGCTCCCTGCCTCCTTGCCAGGAAGATGCTCTGGGTCTCCACAGAGCATAGGAGCTCTGTTCCTAACCACAAGTCAGCTATATACACGTGGCATTCTGTGCCATGAAGGGAAGATGGATGGGCCATCTGGGGATGATGGATACCCAACTGCTGTTGAGGCCCATTAAGGGAAAGCTATTTCTTTCTAGCTAGTTACCACTGGGGATTGGTTCTGCTCAAGCTATTCCCTCCTCTGGGCCTGTTTCAAGACAAGCTCTCAAGTATGCCACTGCTATTACTGGCACTGACACGTCTGAAATCATGAATGATCAAGACAGCCCTCCTTTAGGCAAACCCAACAGAAGGGACATTCCACAGTCAATGGGCGGGACTCACAGCCAAGAGGCATCCATTTGGCCGAGACCTTAGATCAAAGGGTCACTGATGAGGAGACAAAGGGCAGTGCTGCTCTAGGGAGGGTGTAAGCAAGAAAGGGGGCAGGAGAGCCTAGGTGAGCCTGCTCTACTCACGAAGGCACTAAGGGCCGCTCTTGGAATCCTACCCAGCCCGAGTCCTTAATGTGTCAGTGGGTTCCAGCAGCCATTTCCAGGTGAGGGCTTCTCTAAGACCAGAAGTGCCAGGAGTCAGACCTCCCATACCCTGGGGCTGCCTACATGAGCAGCTCCAGTGGCTTGCTGCCCAGGGGGGCTGGCAGAAAGCACACACCCATGGTTCTCCCCACCCCACAGCTCTTCCCTTCCATCTCAGGATCTACCTGAGGGGATCCCAGACTGCGGTGATCCCACACCCCCAATTTTGGCCTGGCCAGTGTGACTGCCAACATGTTTTTGGTTTATTTTGATAGTCTGTATTATCTGTGTGTTTATGTGGGAAGTAGAGGTGCATGTGCACATGTGTATGTGTGTGGAGGCCAGAAGACAACCCTGGTGGTGGTCCTCAGGAACCATCTGTCCTCAGTTTTTTGAGACAGACTCTCTCAATGGGACCTGGGGCTCACCGACTTGGGCTACACCTGCTGTCAAGAAAGCCCCAGGGATCCCCTGTCTCTACGTGCCCAGGGCTGGGATTACATCACCATGCCTAGCTTTTCGTACAGGTACTGAAGACTGAATTTAGGTCCTCATGCTGTGCAGGACTTTACTCACTGAACTATTTCCTAGCACCCGAGGTTCATATTTTTGAAGCAAAGTTATATTACAAAAATAATCTTAAATGTTAATAGACTATTGTAAAGATGTTCACGGTATTACTTATAGCTACCAGATACATCTAGTGGGGCACGGTAGTACACATCTGTCATCTCAGCATCTGGGAATCAAACACAGGACTGCAGTTCCAGGCAAGCCTGGACTATATAGTGAGATCTTGTCTCAGACAAATATCTGAAACATCCAACATCAGAGAAGGATCAAGAAAACCACAGCAGGTCCATTAATGGAGTAAGACATTGCCAAAGTTTATGCAATAACAGAAAATGGTGTATAACAAAACAACATTTATGAAGAACTTGAAAGTGCAGTAAAGTCCTAAGTGGTCGCATCCAGGCAAGCCTTTCTTTCCTTGTCAACATACTTTCGTTAACGAACCCTAATGAGAGTTGCTAAGATGGAGAAGGGTTTTGGACTCTGCCAGTTCCCCAAATGGGGCAGAGATGATGAGCCCAATAAGCCAGCTGCTGTTCCTGCCTCTTGTAAGCCTTCTCTGAGCATCAGTGGACTCAAGGTGGGTCCTGCCTTGTTCTAGGTGAAAGGACTGGTCTTGAAAAAGAGGGTCACCTCCTTCTGAAGGGACAGAGAAGGACACAAACCCAGACAGCCCTCTCATGGACAGACGTCCTTCTCTGTAACAAGCTAAGGGGGTATCCGAGGTGGGGGGGAGCGGTGAGGAGAATGTGTGGTCACAAGCCTTACCCGGTCTGGGATTGAGCACGGAGCAGCTGATCAGACACTGGTCCTTCAGGCGGAGTAGCTGCCGACAAGTGCTGTGCTCCCCGCCACGGGATTTGTCCTGCCAACCATTGGCTCCCAGAATCTCCTTCAGGTTCCACCTTTCTGCCAAGCTTCCAGTGAGGTCCACCAAGGCATCTGCCACCTGCCCTGCCCATAAGTGCTCATAGGACCCGTGGACTCTAGTGAACCACAAACACAGAGGGCATGAGCCATGCCGCTGGGGGTCTTCCTGCTGCTCCTGTCCACAGTGCATCATACCCCACATCTTCTAGCCCACACACTTGCCACACCTAGACACAAGGCCCCCCATACTCTACACAGCTTCACCCAGCTGTGAATGCCACATTCTGCTGTGTCCCTGCTCTCTGCCCAGGTCCAGAAGGTCCTGCCTCCAATGTGGGCAAAGGACAAGGAGAGAAGAGCAGAAGCTCCATCTCTGAAGCTCAAACTCCATGATCCCCAAAGCACTGACATCACGACAGCCTTGAGTCCCTCTGCTAAGACACCTGCCCATCAGCCAGGCTCCTTCGGTAAGCTACCAAATGCCATGTAGGAGGGACAGCTGTTCAATCAGGGACTCAAATGACAGCATGGGTGTGATAACCAATGCTGCTCCATGCAGGGCTCGTCCCTCCCTAGCAACTTGTCCCGAATATCTAGAAACGGACACAGGGGACACAGTCCCCTTCTGGGACTAAGGAATGAAGGCACTCAGGCCGTCTCTCTGTGGAGGCCTGGGAAATGTGGGAAGGTAAAGAGTGGGCAGGGAGCACAAACCACAGGCCTGAGAGTAGAGTGTCCACGGTGCCCAGGACTGGCTGCCAGTTCCTGAGGATTGTACAGGGCTCTGCAGCCCAGGGCAGATGAAATGGGACTCAGGGCACAGCCTGGGTGCTGAAGCCACCCAGTCTGGCCCTATCTCCCCAGAGAACACATACTTGGCATAGGCCTTTTCCAGTAAAGGAAGCCAGAACACATCCTCTCTCTGGCACCGGGAGAAGCAGAGTCTCCCTGCAAGACAAGGCAGCCGGTCATCTATGGTCACCTCCTCCCAGTGTCCAAACTGCCAAATTCTGCAGGTGAAGAGGCCACAGTATTCCTGGTCAGACCAGCTTGGCTGTCCTGGAGGAAAAACCTAACATGCACAAAGAGAGGCCAGAGAGACAGCATAAGACCAGCATCACTGCACTCCTCAGCATCCTAACAGTGTGTCCTCTACAGTTCTGCAAAGGCACCTGCTGAGAGCAAAGGGCTTTGCTGGATACCACACCTAAATATCTGTGTCATGGTAAACTCTGACACCCCTCACCACCCATGCTGCACAACCACAGATGTGCTGCAGCAGGCCCCACTTCTGAACTTCCTGTTCTGGGCAGGCGAGAGGAAGAGGGTGGGAGAAGCCTGAGGTGGCCTGTACCTGGTCCAGAAGGTGTCGATGCTTCTGCAGGGCAGCACAGGCACACAGGAACCAGCAATCTCCCAGCAGCCCTTGCTTCACCTGTCCTTCCCATGGGTTATCTGGCAACAGCTGGGGAGTGGCACAAATTTCCTGAAATAAAGTTATCCAGAGTTAGATCTTCAATCTAAGAAGATGAGGATCCAGATGGGCTAGGGAGGCTGCTCCACAGCCACTATCCTGCAGTGCCTTCTTGGCCGCTGTTCCCCATGAAACATCTCTACACACCTTCCTCACTGACAATACTCCAATTGTGGGTGCCCCTTTTTGAAGAGCTAAGTGCTGGTTTAGAAACCAGTTTCACTTCGTAAGTTCATGGTGGCAAATACCAAATGGGTCCTCTATGCTGCTGGAGAGCCAACTGTGCCTCTACAAGGTTTAGTTTCCCACATCCCTCAATCTCCTGCCTTTCTTTTTCTCCCTCTTCTCAAACCATCATCACTCCTTTGCCTGCACACCTGATCTGCCGATCTGGTCTCCTGCGTCAAGCTATTGATCACCCCTCTTCTACCTTGGAGCTGGACTCCTCCTGTCACACCTCCTTCCCACGTGCTCAAACATCCCCCTCCTGGAGCAGATCCCATCAACATGTGGGCAGTCCAGAGAATGCCTGACTTTAATATCCATCAGCACTATATTCCCCTCCTAGGTTCCCTTTGCTGTCTCAGAGGGGCTGCCAACCCAACTGCTGCCTCCTGTCCCTCTCAGCACGAGTACTCCTTCGGCTCCTGGATCAATCATGCCCCCAGACCGCCTTGTCAGCATCACCTGAGTGGTGTCAAATCCAACAGGTGAGGCTGGTCTTTCAGTAGCTTCCAGAACAGCTGACTGTCCCGACCCTTAAGGCCATGGAAGACCCCATCAGTGTCCATGGTGCCACATGTTCCTCTGGTCCTCTCTCCACACTGTCCGCTGTTTCTCACCTATTTGTTGGGGTACCCACTTGTATCACTGCATATTAGGGCTCAAGGCTGAGTTTTGAGCCCCTTTTTCTACCCCTCCAGCTCCTGAGATGCTCTTCCAAGATACTGTAAACCATCTATTACACTCCTCTTGAGCTTCTGACCTGACTATCCAACAGCTCCACCTGAACCAGGGAGGCAAGGCAGGCTTTACCTAGGACCACCTCACACCAGTCCCTGGTCAGAAAGCAAGACATCATTCTTTCACTCACTTTGTACATGTGTGTGCCAGAGCACACATGTGGAGATCAGAGGCCAACTTATAGGAATGGGTCCTCTCCTTCCCAGGGATCAAACTTAGGTCATCAGGCTTGGCAGCACATGACTTTACCCTCATGAGCCATCTCACAGACTGAAGAAGTCCTTGATTCTGCCTTTAGCTCAGCTACTTCACACAGCTGCTCCTTCCGAAGTATTCTCAAACACATCAGTTGCAAGGCCCCAACCAACCAGCTGCCAGGCTAACCTGAGGTACCATCCTCCCCTAGGAATGCGGAAAGGCAGCCAGCCTTCCTTCCGTGCAGCCATTTCCCTCGCAGGTGCACCAATGAGTTTCTTTCCCATTATTCTTTTTCTGTCTTGTTTACTGCTGTTATTTTGATTATGAATGGGTGAAACACTCACATAGCTACAATACAAAACATTTGTCAAAAAATAATTAAAAGGCATTAAATACCTTTTACCTTCCCCCATCATCCTGTGCCTGGTCCCCAATGAGTAAGCTTCTTAAAGCAGTCCACTATAATCACTCCTTAATTGAAAACCTTTTACTGGTCTCTCATTGCACGTAAACCCCATTTTTAAAGTAAAAACAAAACCTAAATTCCAACGGCATTGCAACACGGCTCTTCCTGTTCTGGCTCTTGCCTTCTCTCCCTTGACTCTTGGTGTTGCCCAAGAAAACCAGACTGCTCCTGAACACCCATCAAGCCAAGCAGTTCTGGCTGCATAAGGGCTGGTGGCCATTCAGCTGTGTCCAGTAGGACTGTATTCATGTGAAGCAGGCTGTACCCTGTGGTGTTCAGCAGATAAGCCACCCAAAAACACTAACAGAAGCACTAGGCTCGAGAACCATCTGAGTCTGTCCGAGCTGCAGCTGCAAATAGGAACTTCTGCTGCAGTTCTCTCTGTGGCCTCAGCCTGGCTCATCAGGAAGGGCATGAGAGGTGCTGCTGTTGTGAGGAGCAGACATCACAGCACAGCACTTAAGCAGGGCTGGTGGTGACCAGCAGAGGACTCCAACCCGGAAGCCAGGGACAGGCACTGCTCAGAGAGAAGCAAGCAAGTGGGACTGTGTTCCAACACCCGGGCCTTCCACCAGCCCTTACACAGCTGTGATCAATCAACGATTTGCTCCTGCAGATAAAATTGTGCAACTGAACACACCTGCAACCAACTGGTCCAGAAACCAGTGGCAGGAACTTTCCTATTTTACAACACTTGCCTCACCTCAGCTAGCTCCACCATTTACAGGAGTCACAAGGTGCCAACACAACTGTCCCTCAGCTTTTACCAACATGCTCTGATTCATCTCCCTGTTGTGTACCATCTCTTGAATGCACGGCCAAACACCGAGTGCTATGAGAACAAAATGCAAAGCCAAGAGAGGTTTGTCCTGGAATGATGAATTACAGCTGATCAAGCTTAGATGGTGGAATGGACCTCGAAATAGTGCTTCCTTCCACGCCCTTCTACTGCATGGAAGAACAATTTCTTGGGGCTGAGGAAGGGCTCAGGGGTTAAGCGCACTGGCTGCTCTCGGAGAAGACCCAGGTTCAACTCCCAGCATCCACGTGGCAGCTAACAACCAACTGTAACTCCAGTTCCCCGGGATCCGACACCCTCTTCCGACCTCCGTGGACACTGTATGACATAGGTGCACTCACATGCAGCCAACACACTCATACACATAAAAATAAGTTAACAGGATATGTTGTTGTTTTTTAATCGAGTCAGTATATCTTGGTGCAAATACCTCCGGTCAAGTTCTATAGGAAATATCTCAAAACCAAGCCGTCCGATTGCTTCCAGCCTCCACAACTGGAGGCTCTGTCGTCCGGGCGGCGGGGACCAGCTAGCCCGAGAACCCCGGCTCCGTTCCACCCGCCCCGGCCGGAGGCCCCGCCGCACCTGGGGCCGTCTCCAAGTGATGTCCTCCCGAAACTGGGCTAGAGGCGTGGACAAGCTGGAAAAGAGCGAGGAGTCCAAGGCGGGGAACGCGGCGTCCTGGAAGAGCTCCCGCGCCGGCGTCTCGGCCCGGCCCGCCCGCATTCTCGGCGCCCTGCGCTCCCATCTGCAGCCCGTGGACGCGCTCGCCTCCCTGGAACGACTGCGAGGCCGTGACGTGGGCTGGCGTTTGCCTAGACCGCTAGGCCGGCCAGCGCAGATGCTCCCGACGACACTCGCTCCGTCGTCTAGGTAACTCCGGCTGCAGCCAACCAGGCGCGGTGCTCGGTCACGTGAGACAGCCGCCAGCTCAAGAGTGCTCCTGTCGCCCCGAGCCCGGGGGCGGAGCTCCGGGAGGACTGCGATGGCTACACTCCCCGAGAACTTGCTTCAACTCACGGGTTCTCCCGAGGCGGGCCGCCCCAGACACACCAAAACGCCTTGTCTTTGGGTCCACGTAGCTCCAGTCGCTTGAACTTGCGGTTCACAGGGGTCACCGGCACCTGAATGGACGCCTTGGCCTACGTCACTTCGTGGACTACCTATCCCAGCATGCCGTGCCGCTCCCAGCATGCAGCGGGACTCCCCGATGGCGTCTCTTTCCCAGAACGCGCAGCTCCTTCCGTCTGAGTGCAGGAAGCTGTCGTCGCCGCCGTGGCTCTCTGAGAAATTGGCCCAGGAAAGCCCATGGCGAGCGGTCCCAGGCGGATCTGCTTCCTGCGCCGCGGTGGTTGCGCTGTTCTGGGAAGGCAGAGGCGTCACCGGGCTTGGACCTTGCTGGGCCTGGGCGTTTGTTCCAAGACGGGGTCGGGGGATGCGGCTGGAGCGTCCTTGCATCTCCAGGTGGCTGCTTACCTCCTGGACTTGCGGTTGGAACTCATGGTCACTCGTGCCGTGGGAGATGACGAGAGTGACCTGAGGACCTGCTGGGATCCACTCCTGGCTGCGGGGACCTACCTTATCCCCAGGAAGGACGCCGGCCAGCCTAAGGCTGTGCTTCTCAAGGCTGCAGCCTTCGTACAGGGCCAAGCAGGGGAAGGGGTCTCTTCTAGCGACAGCTGTGTGTCCCGTGAGGGCTGCTCAGATTTTGCTTCCTTAGGCTACTTTGACTCAGCCTTGGGATGTAAAGGATGGTCAGAGTGAAGTAGAACACGTACTGACTTCTGGAAGAGGAAAAAACGTGGTTCAGGGCTCAGGATCTTAACCTGCTGGTTGGGAACCTACAGTTCCCATGACTGTTGGAACTTCTCCCTGTGAGAGGCCGGGCAGCACCTGCATGAGCAGCATGTGTTCTGGTCGCATGACTCTGTTGCCTTGACCCGACCAGGCTCTAGCCGCATGATTTGAGGCCCAGGATACTCCTTTTTGATGTTCAAGAAAAGGAGTGGCTACATAATCCAACACCTCTCTGGAATGCTTTGTCTTTAGCAGGCATGCTGTTGACCCACGTGATTCTGACTCTTGCAGACAGGCAACAGAACGGTAGCTGACAGGAATGAGACCTTGGGCCTGGAGGAGTAAGGCAAATTCTCCCTTTCTCTGAGTGCTGGACAACTAGCCCCCCCCCCTCCCCCAGTTGGCTGGTAGGGTTAGTTGGCAGAGCTGGAACTACTCAAGATTCAAACTCATCAGGGACCTTTACTGTGATACTCACTGGTGTTGACAAACTCAGGACAACAAGCGCCACATCCTTGTTTGGGGCTGGGTCATGTGTTGAGTCAGGCCTCCAGGATCTGGAAAGGACAGAAAGACACTTGGTGCTGGTTAGGCAATAGTCCAGGCCTGCGGGATGCTTGTGCTTTAGCCAGAAGTGGTGCCAGGGCAGCTTTTTGGTTGATTGCTTAGACCTTCACTCTACCTAGGTACCCTGTAGTCCATTTGCCATGTATCCTTGACCTATCTGGAGAAGATCCCTTCTCCCTCAGACCCCTTCTGCTTGGCTCCTGGGGTACCAAGAAGGGCTAGAAGCAGCCTAGGTAGAGAAAGAAAAAGAGAGTGTGGAGGCAGGTCGTTCTTGATACCAGTCTCCACAACCAAGGCACGTAGTTTCAAATCAAAGTAGATGTGGTGTCACACCTATAATCCCAGCTCTCAGGAGGACAAATTGGTCCACATAAAGTTCCAGGCCACCCAGGGCTGCATAGTGACACCCTTTTGTGTGAAGGTCCCTCATTGCACCCATCTCCACAGTCACCCTGGTTCCCAGTCAGAGGACTCAGACACCAAACCACTTCCTTTGCAAGCCCATGGGTGTTCAGGTGCCTTGTAGAACCTGAACCCTTCTTGCCATTTCCTGTGATGTTGCTCCGTGTGTTCTGCCTAGATAACTGCTAGTTTTTCAAGGGAGTGTTCCCCGCCTTCCTCAGCTGGGAGATCCTCCTCCTCTGTACCCCACATTACTGTTGAGTGGTAATAGCTGAACATGCCTCTGCTGGTCATTGCATTCCCAAGGAGATACAGAGATGAAAAGCAAAGCTAGTGTCTGGCTTGCAGACTAACCAGTTAAGCTGAGGATGAGGAGGGGAACCGAGGTAAACCTAGTCTTAGGGAAGGGAGATTTGAGGTTCCCCAGTAAAGGACTAGGCAGCAACAGCAGGAGGAGGTGGTGAATACTGAGTCAAGGGCAAAGTCCTTGTTTGGCAAACTGCCATGTTTGCTGAGGACCCACCACATAGCTGCTCTCTCCTTAGCAACAACACTGGTTTCAGTTCTTGGTTTTCTGGCAGCTAAGGTGATCTAGGGAGTCTGACCTCTTCCTAGCTCAAAAGTCAGTAGTTCAAAAAGAAGATGGTACTCCAGCTCTGGATAGCGAGACATAGCAATCTGGGAAGCAGGGGATGTGGCTCAGTAGGTAAATGCCTACTGCAGAACATGAGGACCTGAGTCCCACCCTCGGCACCCACAAGAAACCAGACATAAGCCATGTGTGGTGGCAGGTGCCTGTAACCCCAGCATTCAGTAAGCAGAGGCAGGAGGATCTCTGAATTCCAGGCCATCCTGGTCTGCATATCAAGTTCTAGGCCATGTTGTGTTTAACCCCCCAGCATTGGGAACACAGAGATGTGAACCCTGGGTGGGGTTCACTGGCTATTTCAGCCCAGCATAATCCAGCAAGCCTCAGGTCCCTGACCCTTAAGAAACGGTATGGGGCTTGGAGAGATGGCTCAGTGGTTAAGACACTGGCTGTTCTTGCAGAAGACCCAGGTTTGAATCCCAGCACCCACATGGCAGCTAACAACTGTCCATAACTCCAGTTCCAGGGGATCCAACAGCCTCATCTGTCCAAGGGGATTCTCTTACCTACATGGAGGCAATAAACACACATAAAATTAAAATAAATTTTTTTCTTTAAAAAAGAAACAGGGTACATGGTGCCTTAACCTGTCCACCAAGAACCTCCCCTCAGTGCCGACACCTTGGGCTGAGAACCAGCCACCTACTTTACAGCTTGTTTCTCAGTTGTCAAAACTTTTGCATAGGCACTACCATAAGGTGGGTGAGAAAGTACACCTGCACGTACATGCAAAAGCAGCCAGGGGCCTGCAGTCGTCTCCCTGCTGTGCAGAAGATACAACACCAGGTATCCTGACCTCCAGTTGCCAGTTTGTGCAACTTGACTGCTGCCAACTGTTGAAGTCAGCTTGGAACCACCTGCAACAAGCCAACGGCCAGGGACCAGTGTGCGGAGAACGTGGAGCAGGCAGCGGTACTGCTGAGCCCTCCTGCTGATCAGGACCAAAGTCACCTCACCATGCAGCTTCTGAGCATGTGGTTACCTGAGATGTACCTTTTCTGTTGAAGTAACTTTGAATGGGATCTCTGTAGTGAGACAAAATTTTTGGACTTTGTGTTAATTGTTTACTGTTGCATAACAGCCAACAAGTCTTCCGCTTGTGCAGGTCAGGAATTGGAAGAGCTCATTGTGGTTCTGGTTTAGGGCCTCTCAGATTAAGATCAAATGTGAGACCAGGCTGAACATACCTGAAGGCTTGCCTGGGGCCAGAAGATCCACTCTAAATTCAAGAGAAGCTCACTTCCTCCCCCTGTGCCCGTCCCCCAAGAGTCTACTTGTGCATACTAATTACAAGACAGCCCACTTGCCCCAGAGAGGAAATTTAAAGAGAAGGAAGAGGTGCAAGCCAGTGTTTTGTGCTGGACCTTGGATGGCATTCTCTGTTGGCACCGAGAGAGCAGGGCTCTAAGAGTGAAGAAAGGGAGGTAGCATCCTGTCACTAAACACACACACACACACACACACACACACACACACACACACACACACACGGCATTAGGTCAGAGAGAAGCCCTGAAGCTTCAATAGAGGAGATACTTGGTTTCATAGGAGCATGAGTAGCCAGCCATAAAGGGCAAAGTTGTAGCTGGGTGTGGTGGAGCATGCCTTTAACTCAGAAGGAGGAGGCAAGAGGGTCACAAGTTCCAGACTAGTCTATATATAAAGTTCAGGCCAGCCTGGGCTTCCTGGCAAACCTGTCTGAAAGAGAAGTTGCAACTGTTGGAGGTTGGGGTGCCAACAGAGACAGCCTGGCAAGTCTTGCAGGATTTGAAGATCCTGCAGATCCACCATCAGTTTAGGGAGTTCATGAAACAGAATGGTGTTTGTGAAGGTGCACTGATGTGAACTTGGGTTGGGCCCATCACGGTTACATGTGCAGATCTGAAATGCAAGGTACTTTAGGCCTGTGACGCAGTGAAGATTCATCCCCCAGCAACCTATGTGGATCATCTGCTGGAGAGCAGGCCTGGTGTCCTGTCTTTTGAGAAAGGCTTTGCTGCCTGTGGTCCTCATGAGGTGCCTGGGCAGTAGGAGGCAGGTATGGAGCTCATGGTTCCCCCATGTTAACAGGCCTTGAGCCATGGGACCAGCTGCCACCATCCATATTGTGGAGCAAACTTCATCCCTCCCCGCACAAGAGGTGGGAGGCTGGCAGCAGCCTCAGTGATTCTAGGTGTGTCTATGGAAGCAACCTGGGCCTTCAGAGCCCCTCCCCCCAGCTCTTCCCACGATATGTGCAGTGAGGTAAGCTTCTGGGGTCTTGGGAAGTTGTGGCAGTTATGGGCCTGGGCTTTGGGAGGTGATCAGCAACCAAGTATGAACTGCTCTTCTGTGGAATTGTCTCATTTTGGGTGCAGTAGGGCTGAGGTCCTAGCAGCTTGGACTTCTCTCTTTTCCCAGCATACAGTTCCAGCTAGAGGAATCCTAAGAAGTACTGGGGCAGGGACCATCCCTGTCTTCCCTGCAGCCCTTCCCAGGGAGTGAAGCAGCCTACCTGCGTGGGTCTCAAAGGCTTGGGTTTGCATTTTAAGACACTGATCTTCATGTGCCCCAGAGATTGTTATTTCTTTCCCATTTATGAATGTGGGACTTGCACTTCAAAGGGAGCAGGCCATGACTTTGAGCACCCAGGTGATGGCAGCTTTTTGGAGAGGTAGCATACTGTAAACCAGGTGATTTTTATTGGAACTTTTTGCCTAACTCTCATCCCAAGTTGTCGCGTGTTAAGTTTCTTGTGAACATTCTGCAGTTTGCTTTAGCCTGCTGAAGTGGGCATGTTTCAGATGTGAGCTGTCTCCAGCAGCTTGGCTGTTAGAAGGTTTTTCTCTGCTCATTCATCTTGAGCAGAGAGAAGGCTGTCTGGCCTGGATGGGTGGTAGTGATGCCTGGACCCTCTGCCTGGCCTGCTAAGAGCTCTCTCAGATCCTGTGCTGGGTCTGGTAGCTCTCACCATGCTGTGGTAGCTCTCTGTGTAACTGGCCTGTCCCTGCCAGGCTTGGACTTAGTGGTCATTCCCCTGCTGTGGAGCTTCTCTGTTCTGTCTGGCCAGGTGTTATTCAGATAGAACGGGTGGGGTATAATTAGACGCTGTCAGAGTCTGTCTCCTGAAAAGAACTCCAGGAAAACTGCCTCCAAGGATGCTGGGGCAAGGAAGCTCTGCAGGTATCAGACAGTACCTGGCTCAGCATGGCAGCTGGAAAGTCTGACACGACAGAAGTGAGGTAAGGGTCAGAGAAGGAAGGAAGAGGATGCAGCAGGAGCCCTGGAGGGGTAAACTGCTGGGAAGGTGCTGGGTGTGGTTGTGTCAAGGGTGAAGATGAAGATATCTTGATCAAACTGAGGTTCCTTGACTATGAATCTACCCATGACCCCCAGTTATAAGGAAATCTCACCACTTTTCCTCATCATTTCCCTTTTTAAAAATGTTGTTTACCTTTATATGCATGAATGTTTTGCCAGCACATATATAAGTGCTCCCATGCGTGCAATGCCCCTGGAGGCCAGAAAAGGACGTTGGATCCCCAGGATCTGCAGTTGTGAATAGTTGTTAGCCACCATGTGGGTGCTGAGACCCAAACTTCCCCCTCTGGAAGAGCAGCCAGGCTGAGCCATCTCTCTAACCCTTTTTAAGATGCCTGTGCTGTCTCTAGGAACAGTCTTTGTCTTGGTATTCCAGCCCAATAATTCATCTTCATTGTGACCATTCTTTTTTTCTTTTTTGGGTCTTTTTTAAGACAGGGTCTCCCTGTAGCCGCAGATGGCTTGGAACTCGATATGTAGACCAGGCTGGCCTGGATCTCACAGAGATCCACCTGCTTCTCAGGTCCTGGGATTAAAGGCATGTGCTACCACACTGGCTGAATTTTCATTTGAAAAAGTTTTAATATGCCGTATTCAAAAAATACTTCCAGATTCAATGTAATTAGCAGTAAAACTCCAAGAATATTCTTCACAAAAAATAGAAACTAGGTCCTAAAATTTGTAGGTGTATTAGGGTTCTTTAGAGAAACAGAACTGATAGGATGAGAATATGTGGGTTGGGGGAGAATTTATTAGCTTACATTGAAATGATAAAAATAGCTGAACTGCACCTGAGAGGCTGAGAATTTGGTAGTTGCTGCGTTTTGGAGGCTGGGTAGGTGCCTCAGCAGCAAGAGGTGTCCCCATTGGCTGTCTCACACTAGGTAGTTGCTCAGTCCACAGTAGATGGCTCAGCATTCCCAATCTGATGCCAAAACCCAGAGGTTTCTGAAGCACTGCTGGTCCTCAGTCAACGACAGAAGCCTGGGAACACTGGCTCTGATGACAGCAAAGGAATCAGTAGCGGCAACTGGATATATAACTTGGTGGCAAGAGGGAGGGCCACACAAGCAGAAGGTGAGTAATCTTAAAAAGCTTACTGCAAGACCTGAAACTTATGCTTGTAGAGGAAGCATAAGGAAAACCCTTTGAGATGCAAGCACAGGCAAGGACTTTCTGAAAAACACTTCAGTAGCTCCGGAAATGACAGCAAGAATGGCAGTTGGAATCGCATGAAATGAAAAGTTCGTGCACAGCAAAGGAAACAGGGAAGAGACAGCCTGAAGAGTGGAGACTCTGCTAACTCAACATCCGACAGTAGATTAACACCCACATCTATAAAGAACTCCCAAAATTAAGACCAGAAACCCCACTCCACACAAGCCATCCGATCAGTAAACCTGCAAATGAATTCAGGAGATAGTTTTCAAGAAATATGGGGGCAGGTGAGATGGTTCAGTAGGTAAAGATGCCTGCCAAGCCTGATGACCCGAGTTTGATAACCACATAATGTAAAACCAATTCCTGTAAGTTGTCCTCTGACCATTCATGCACCAATGGCACACGTGTCCACACATAAAATAATTTTTCTATATATTTGAGTAGCCTGGGACTGACTATATAGACTACGCTGGCCTTGAACTCAGAGATCCACCTGCCTCTACCTCTTGGGTACTGGAATTAAAGGAGTATGCCACCATGCCCAGTATTTTTTTAAAGAAATGGCCATTTTTAATAGAAATGGCCAAAAATACATTAAAAGTTCAGCATCCTCAGCCACTAGAGAAATGCAAATTAGAAACTACATTGAAATTCTGTCAGAATGACTATATCATCAACAAAACAAAAATTGCTAGTGAGAATGGAGGTGAGCTGTTTGGTTTCCTCAAGTACGCGCTTAGTTTTTTGCGCATTGTCTTTTGCATTGTGGGCACTAACCAGTGGGTGATCTCAGTTGTGCCTTGTCCCTGTGCTGTAAGTTTCCCCAAAACTGTCCAAGTCTCTATCCTCAGGAGGAGAACACTCATGGACTTTTCAGACCTCAAAGGACATAGCCTGAGGAAGAGTGCCTGAAAACATGATCTGGACCTTAGGGACACTGGAGACTCTAGGCACATACAGACTACTGCACACCACCCCGCCCCCAGGCAGACTGCAGGTGTTTGTGGACAGCAGTCTTCCATCAGGCACCTGTCTGTTTTTGAACATCACCCACAGCTCTGTTGACACCTCTCCTACCTGACTGGTCCCTACTCCTGTGAGATGCTGGTATTCCTCAACCTCCCAGTCTCAGCTCCTCTGGTGGTTATTGGTTCTATCTGCTAAGTACTCCTCTGCACAGGCCAGGGTGGACTGTGGGAACAGACCATGGGACATGGCCCTCCGGAGCTTGCACTATGGGTGTGACCCTCTTCATGGCTTTTTATCCCTGGCATGGCGCCTGGAAACACTTTGAGTCCCCGGCATCAGTATAAGGCCCTGGCTAGCCACAGGGAAAAGCAGCTTGCCCCACGTCTGCCATCACTAAGAGTGAGAAACATGACTCTTCCACACACTGATGTCTGACTCTTGTTTGTGGTTGGGGTATAATTTAGCCTCTAATGGAGAAGTCACCCTGAGGGTTACATATCCAGGACAGTGGGCACGTGGTGTTGGGCGGGATGGGCCATGTCTGGCTGCAAACATGGGTTTGAAATAACTTGCCATGGGACATGGTGGCAAAACATCTGCTAAAGCTCATCTGTGATGACTCAGAAGGCAGAGAGCATATGAAATACTCGATAAGTCCAGTGGAGGAAACGGGAAATACTGGCTTCCCATGAATGACACTGCAGGATGGAGCATATGGAATGGTGGGTAGGCCCAGAGGAAGAAGCTGGAAAACACTGGCTGTGAGAGATGGCCATGGGCGGCCCTTGGCAAGATACTACAGGAAGAGCTAAAGCCAGTCCAGCTTTGCCGGTTGGAGAAAGGGCGTAGATGAAGGCCAGGAATGCAATGTTGCCACTGAACGTGTACTCCTCTGCACCTCTAATGGAATGCAGAGCCACAGCAGACTGACATCCAGGTTGGCATCTAAGATAGGTGCACACCTCCCATAGCTGCAACTGCTAGTTGTCATTTCTGACCTTGCAAAGATCTAAGCAGTGTCTAGAGGACACTGTGGGTACAGCTGTGGTACTTGGACCTGGAATCAAGGTTCTGTGAGAACATGAAGGTGTCAACTTGGCAATGTCAAAGAAATGTGAAGCTCAGATGAGTTTGTAACCACCGAGACTTGAAGGCAGCCTTGGCAGGAAGAGGTACAGAGCAGCCCTGCTGCTGAAGAGGGCTGTGGGCATCATCTTTGGGTGTGGCCCCTCTGGATGGTGGCACCAGGGCACCAGAGAGCAAAGCAGGGCTTAAGATCAGATGGTACCCTCAGCCTCATTGTGGTTTGAATATGAAAGCCTCTCCCCAAGCTAGTGGTGCCGCTTGGAAGACTGTGGGACCTTCAAGAGGTGAGATCTAGCTGTGGAAAAAGGTCACTAGTAGCTGGCCTTTGAAGGTTCTCTCTGCTTCCTGCCTACAACCACCTGAGGAATCTGTCACAAGCTCCCACTACCACTGACCAAGTCACCCTTGCTGCTAAGCCTTCTTCACCAAGATGGTCTGAAATCAAGAGCCAAGCTATGCTTGTTGGTATAGTTACAGCAGTGACAAAAGTAACCCCTCTTTCCTCTGAAAGGTGTCACTGTAGTTGTCCCCTCTGTCCCCTGCTGGGTGTGAGGGTGGTTCCATCCTTGATGGGGTAGAGCCTCATCTAGTGCTGTGGTGGGGATTATGCACATGAACTGTCAAAGGAGAGGTGACCCTAAGCCCTGGTCTCAGTTTGGGGTACAACTTGGAGATTTTTGGACTGTCACTGCTGAAGGGTGGGAAGATTCCTGAAGAGGAAGGAGGGCTGGATCCTGGGCAGAGGCCTTTGAGTCATTTGCCCACCATTTCCAGTTCTCCATTTCCCAGCTGCCATGTGTGTAGTGGGACCGTAATGGTATGCCCAGTGTGTTGGAACAAGAGGCATGCCACAGTACACTGCCAAGGCTGGAGGCTAGAGTGCCAAATGGTCCAGTGGTGATCAGCAGCTTGAGTCTTTGGGCAATCGTGAGGAATGGCTCCACTTGCCACCCTATGAACACAGAGCTTCCATTTCTATCAGGTAATCTAACCCTACAGTCCGCCATTGTAGAGTTCCCAGCCTAAGCACTTCATCCCTGCCACCCACACCTCCCTTGCACTCTGGCCTTGGAAGTCTGGATCCCCCCACCCCTAACCCAGTGCTAAGGAGCTGAGATGTGATCAGAGTCCTTCAGGTGAAGGCTCAGAACAAGGGTGTGACAAGCTCAGCTCAGGTCTGGTTGAAGAGAAAGGAGAACATACCCCTGGGGTTCCTGGGTAGGTTCCCAAGCTTCTGTTTCTTGAGGTCTACTGGGACAGGCTGTGACCAGGATTCCTGGGAAGAGCATTCATCTCCCCCAGTCCTCATAGGCCAGCCCCATCCCTGGCAGCTGAGTAGGCGCAAAGGACAGGGTGGAAACAAACAGGGAGGGAGGGCAGGTCTGCAGAGTGGAGGTTGTTTAATGGGGCAGTTGCCATGGTGCCTGCTACAATGGTCCCAGGCTAGAGCCCACAGCCCGTTGCCTCTCCCTGCAGGCAGGCCGAGACTACCAGTGCTACCCAGGTAGCCGCAAGGACAGGCCATCCTGCACAAATGCTTCTGGGACTTGGATCCATCTGCAGAGGGGCTGAGGCCAGCCTAGGAGGCCCGTCCTCCCTTCCTGTCCCCTGCTTGCATCCTTGTCCCTCTGCCAGGAGCCAAGCAAGGTAGCTGGCTGGGTACAGGCCTCTGCAGGGAGGCAGAACAGCCGGGGCCTCTGGCAGATGTAAGGCACAGTGTGGTGGTTGCTGTGGGACTGCTGGGGTACGTGTCCTCAGGGCAGTGTTCAGCAGATGCTGGTCCAGGGTGAGGCATGGCTGTCAGTGTTGAGACAGGAGGCATGGTAGGTGTGGGCCTGCCCCAGGGCCTGCAGTGCAAGAGAGCAGGAACGAGATGGGCCCTGGTCCATGGGCCTCCATGGACACAAGGACCTTCTCCCCATTCCCCTGGCCTGGAAGAGCCCATAGGAGGGGCTTATGGGCCCAGGCAGAGCTCGTGGCTGGAGCCAAGGCACAGTCATGGCAGCCTGGACCACAGAAGGCACAATCGTGGTGTCTGGGAGGTCGAGGGTTGGTCTCCATCAGGGCTAGGCAGACACATTGACATCCCTGAGAGAGATGGCGCTGGTGGGGGCCTCATCCCCGAGCAGCAGGGCTGGCGAGTCCAGGTTGGTGTCTGCCCCAGCATGGCCCAGCTCTGTGCTGGGCTCCACACTGGGCTCAGCACTGGGGCCCAGGCCCTGAGACAGGATCTGCTGGATGGTTCTGCGCAGGTTGGGATGCAACCGGCCCTGGGTCTGGTAGAAGACCTCTAGTGCGAAGGACTTGAGAGCACCGGTACAGAGGTCCTCGTACAGTGGGATGGTGTACATGCGTGACATCTGTGGGAGGTACCTGGTCACATCAGCGGGCTCCCTGGGCACCTCCCACCACCCTAGCTCTGAAGGTGGCCTAGTTCCCTCATGAAGGCCTTGGCCTGGAGTCACACAACTACAGCACCCCCATTAAGTGGCCTCTCACCCTCACCTCTCCCTCTAGGTTGTCTCTGATAGGTTAGGCTGGAGGGGCAGGGCAAGGAACAGGCATGGTAGGCAACCGCCTGAAAAGTCTGGGTGGCCCTTGTGCCCAGACCTGGAAGCTGATGTACATAGGCCTGAGCCCCAACCAGCTCAAGGCTGATGCCAATGAAGAACCCTGGACTCTGGTGTCCAGCTTTCCTCTCTGTGGTAGAGTCCAGGTCACTCTCTAAACCCCTGACCTTGCACTCCTCTCCCTTCTTTTCTGTATTGTGTCCCCCCCACCCCCCCCAGGCCTCCTTAGGTCTGATGGCTTCCCTTCTCCACTCTCTAGATGTGCCTGGTCTGCCTCAGTGGAGAATCTGATGGGGTGGGCCCAAGGAGAGCCACTCCCACGTCATGCCTCTTGGCATGGGGCTGCACCTGGCTCTCCAAGAAGCGCCGGACCCTGTGGAGGTCAGGATAGTAGTCGTTGCGGACAACGATCTGCAGCCAGCGGATGCGGATCTCGGCGTTCATAGAGTCCAGCAGGGACGAGTAGCACTTGGACAGGCTCATCACTACCTCTGGGGAGCAGCAGGTAGGCAGGTCAGGGCTGGACTGAGCCACTCCCTTTCCCCAAGCTACCCTATGGACTATGGGACCCATCCCTGTGGACTATGGAATCCAAAGCCACCTTGGGGCAACGGGGAGCCATCCAGCAGCCGGTCCAGGAAGAGTGCTGTCTGGAAGGTCCTCCATTTGGAGATGTCAATGGCACTGGCTGAGGCTGCTGCCTGCTCCAGGGGCTCTGCAGTCCACAGTTGGAAGAGGGCCTCCACAGGTCGAGTCAGGCTGGACCCCTGAGACAGGTCTGGCTCAGCCAGAGGTGGACCCGTGGCATTGAGCCAACGCTCGAACTCCAGCCCTGCAGGAAAACCAGGCCTGGGGTCCCTGCCAGGGCTGGGTAGGAGGCCACCTGAGCAGCCTGTCATGGAGACCTCAAACCCCAAGAGTATGTATGCCTGGCAGGTAATCTGTTCTAGGGTCTGGGAAGTTACCCAGAAGTCTGTGCCTTTCCTTTGGAGCCACGGGATGGACTCCTGTTAAGGACACGGAGGTAGAAAACTTGGGTTGGTGACCAAAGGATCTTTATCCATTTCATGCCTGTCCTAGATGTGTTGAGGCAGGGGAGGCTCTGCCCTTTCTGGTAAAGCACATAGACTCTGAACCACCCTCAATCCCACAATACACTTCTGTATGTTCCAAAACTTAGGGTCACCGCACCTAGACCTTCCAGCAAATTCTATCTTCTCCCTAGATACTAGCTCCTCTAGTTCCTTCTTTGGTGCCCAAATCCTCAGACCCTCAGCAAATTCTTGTGTGGCACAAGCAGGGACAGCCAGCTTCAGGGTACATCCCACCACCCTGTTCATTCTGTTCTAGGACCTTTGCATGCTGTTTCCATAGCCCTCTCCCACTGGCTGCTTAACTTGGCCCACTCAGCCCAAGTTATCACCTCCTTCTTCAAGGTAGATGCTTCCCGTTCCCCACCATGGCCCCTCAGGCTAGAAGGTACAGCCTCTTCTTTACTGTCATAGTGTCCTGTCCTAGGACCCATGCAGTGGAGCAGGGGCTGGTGGGCTTTCCTCCAACCATGGCTTCCATCTCATTCCCAGCCCCTGGGCCCGCAGCAGAGTAAGTAGCCTCACCTGCCCGACAGTCCACACTCTGCTCCTTCAGCTCTGGGAAGAAGCTCAAGAAGGAGTCCAGCAGGTCCTGGGCCACCACACTGGTGAATTTGTATTTCTCCACATAGGCCTGAGAGATGAGGGGCGGGGCCTTAGCAAGCCTGGAGGGCTGGGCACACTCAGTCCTGGCAGAGCCAGGTCAGCACACTGGAACACTGTCTAAGGGTGTGTATCGCAGCCCAGGTGGGCCACAGGCCCTGCTGGGAAGGTGAGAGGAGGGGGCAGCATCCATCAGGCCAGGTCCCAATCTGGTGCCCAGGTCCCCTCCCCACCTTTTAAAAAGGGCAGATCTGTCAGCTGGAGGAAGTTTTGGGTGGGAGGCAGCAGGTCCTATCAGCTTACTCGGAGAAAGTCGTCAAAGCGCTGGGGATCTCCACAGAGCTGGGATAGGTAGTACACAAAGCAGTAGCCCTTCTCATAGGTGAACAGGTTCATCAAGTGGCTGGGATTCACTCCTGCAGGGAAAACCTTGTCTGGGCTGCCACCGACCACCTATAACCTTCAGGGTGGGGCTGCAGTGGTCTGGAATTGGGAAGCAGACCAGGTGGAAGGCCACTGCCCCTCAGGTGATTACTGACAGCCTGGATGCACAGTGATGGAGCTTGCTTTGCCCTATGGTGACCAGTGCTCAGAGTTGTGAGGCTGTGGCAGGCCAAGAGCACCTGAGGCCTTCCTTGGGGCTGTGGACACCCAGCCTGGCCTTGGCAGTAGCTCAGCCATGGTGAGAAAGAGAAGCCCTAGCAGGGCAAGTGAACAGCAGACAAGGAGGACCTGGGGGTGACACACATGGGGTCCCAGGAGTGAGCCTGGAGTAGAGGGTACCTGGTTCTAGCTTGACCTGTAACTTGCTAACCGGACTGTCCTCCCCAAGAAGCCGCATTTGTCTGTGCAGGGCGTCCAGGCGGAAGGCTGTCTCCAGACAGGTGAAGGCAGCTCCTGAGTGGAGTCAGGAGAGGAGAGGTGGTTGTCAGGGAGGCCGGAGTACCTACAGTAAGGGTGCCACTATCTGCCCACCACCCGACTCCAGGGACAGTTGGATGTGGGCATGCTGGAGGCTAGGCAGAGCTCTGTGCCCCTTGAAATTGGTGCCTGAGAGGGCCCAAGGCTGCTCCACCCCTGCTCTGCCTGTCTTGGGCACTACCGTAGGTCTCCGTGGTGATGCGGCGCTGTGCGTAGGTGGCCAGGCCCTCACTCAGCCACATCTCTTCCCAAGTGGCATTGGTGACAGCATTGCCGAACCAGCTGTGGGCCACCTCATGGATGACATCAATCACCAAAAATTCATCACTCTCCAGGATGGAGGAGATAATGAAGGTGAGGCAGGGGTTCTCCATGGCCACAATGGGGAAGGAGGGCGGCAGGAAAACGATGTCATATCTGTGCCCATGGGTGCAGGGTGAGGAATGGGGCTCTGACTATGACCCACCAGTCCCACAGCTGTACCCTCCTCCTGAGGTGGGAGCCCCACCCTGTAGTATCACTTCCTTCCCAGGAGACAGGGAACCCAGGGTCAGACTAGGGGCTCCCAGTTTGGGCCCCCTTCAGCCTTTGAGGGCAAGGAGGACAGCCAGCCAGGGAGGCCAGGGGACAGGACGTACCTGCCCCACATGTATGGCCCATATAGCCGCTCAGCTGCACTCAGCCACTGTTCCACAGCACCTGACAACTTGCTGGTGGCCGTGGGCAGGAGGCATGGCTCAGCCCATACACGACTCCTGTCACAGGGCAGAGAAGGTGGGCTGAGGTTGGCCAGCCTGGGCCTTACTTGCCCCACTGGATCTTCCCTTTGCCTTGCCTGACCCTGGTCCATTCCACTTTCCTGGATGTGGGCCACACTGGCCCTTCCCACAGCCCCGGGGAACTGCATCCCAGTGGTCATTCAGATCCTTTTGTTTCTGGGCTGAAGAAACTGGCAAGGGCAGGAGGGTACAGATGGCTGTATGCAGCCTTGGGAGTGAGGACAGGATGCTGGGCAGGGCACTGAGTAGGTCAGCTGTCAGGTCTGAATTTGGGGGCTGGGGAAAGGGGAGAAGGTATGACAGCAATGACTCTGGCTGTGGCCACAAGGCAGGGGCAGGGCTGGGCCCACATGCCAGTAGCCTAGAGGAGGTCTTGGGCAGGGCAACCATGTATACAGGCTACAGACTCTGGGCATTTTCCTGAAGCTTAGGTGCCCAGAACAGCATAGTAGGGTTCAGAAGGGCCTACCTGGGCCCAATGTCTGCTGGCTTGAGGTCTCCGGCCACAAGGGCTACGAGGTAGGCGGGCACAGGGTGCTCCATGTGGAAGTGGTAGACACCCTCCTCCTCCACGTACACACTCCGAGTTGCACTCATCAGTACTTGTACCCCTAATGGGGCCTGCAGTGAATGGTCTGAGCTGAGAACAGGCAGCCTACCCAGAGGCACCCACCTCCCAGGAAGGGGAACCACATTTTTGAGGTGTGACTCATCCCCAACAGGTGACTCCAAAATTCAGGTCAGAGGACAGGGAACTTTATGGTCCCACCAGGGAGCCTCTATCCCCTAGGAGGGAGTCCACAACCCAGGTCAGGGAATTCCATATCCATCAGATAGCCTCACAGGCTTGGTCAGGTAGCCATGTCCCCTTCAGAGCATGCCATCCTGGAACACCAAATCTCCCCGTTGGGAGCTGCTAGACTTGGGCTGTAACTCAAGGTCCCCAACAGGTTCCTATAGCTCTAGAGGACCTGGAACCTAACTGTCAGGTCCTGTGTCCCCGTGGGTGTTGCACCCTGGTCCCTGCTCTGGCTCTGACTTCCATCAGGCCTGTCTTTGGCCCTTCTGCATGGTGTCCCACTAGGACAACAGTCTTTAGCAGCTGGGGTCCCAGCCTAGGCAGGCAAGGGTACAGAGGTGGAGGTGGGCCAGTGCCCCTCTGCCAGGTATGCTGTAAGTCCCAGTCTCCTACAGTGCCTGAAGGAGGCAGAAACAACCCCGTGCCTGACTCTGACCTTGACAACAGCTGAGTAGGTGCACTTGACGGCAGGTGTGTCGAAGCAAGGGAAGAAAGAGCGGTTGCACACTGAGTGGCCCTGGGTGAAGACGAAAGGCTTGGCATTGCCGTAGGTCAGCTCTGGGTCCAGCCACCAGATCTGTGGGCAAGGTGGAACATCAGCAGATGGTCACCTCGTCCTGAGCTCTAGGACCAGGGCCAGCAGGGACTGGGAAGGGACAACTGTCCTTGCTGTACTTGTCACAGGCCTGCAGCTGCCCACCTGGCAGACTCATTCCCCTCCCTACCAGGGGCTGTTGATCTACCATGTGTGCACTAAACTCCAGAACCAGCCTTGCTCCAGATGGGTCACATGCCCAGGGCCAGCCCAGGGAGTCTCCCAGGCCTGCTTTGGAGAAGAGGAAAAAGTCCACCGTGGCATTATCTGAGATTACAAAGGGAAACTGAGGCACAGTCACAACATCTGAGTCCAAATTCCCACAGGCTGGCAGCTAGTCTAATTTTAAGAATGTGGAAACAGAAAAACAGAACTTCCTCACATTGGTGGAGAGAGAGTGAGCCCCAGTGTGGGTCAACCTGTGGGCCAGAGTGGGGGCTGGACATGACGCTCCGAGAGAGGACATGTGTGATGTGGGGAGGGCCTTTCGGGCCAATGCCTAGAGAGAGGGGCTGCAGCAGAGTGCAGTGCTGTGGGTGTGCTCCCCAGCAACTGCTGCCCACTCTCAGGCCGAGGTCACTGCCTAGCCAACCTCCCTCCCAACCAGGACTTTTGGGACATTCTGAGTCTCCAGATGCCCAGGCCAGATGCCCCACCGTGCCTGCCCCCACACTGCCCTCTGCCAGGACAACGGGATTGCTGAAAGAAAGTAATTGTTCATTTTGGTGACCAAGGGCACATAAGTCCTCCCAGGGCCATAGACAGGAGACACCCCCAGCACTCTTTATGAGTAGACAAGTGTGTGCAGTCAGGGCTGACTGCCACAGGGGAAGGAACCCAGAGCTGTTAGAGCTGTCACCTCCCAGACCACAGACAAGGGGCACAGGTGGCTGCCTACTCCACAGACCCTTCTTGTTTCACAGACCCCAGGCTTGAGCAGCTTGCCTGCCATGCAGACCTGGCCAGGCCCCTGCCAACATTCCCTTCCAAAGTCCTTTGGGTGCCCTCTCACTGCCCCCACCTCACAGCAGGCCTGCATATGTGTCTTCCTTTTCTGCTGGGCCTGGGAACCGTCTTGATGCTCAGAGACCTGTTTGGAGAGCTAGATCCAAATGCAGCCTCCGGGGTGCCAGAGACCCAAGTGGAAGAGTGCCCCTGCAGTGGATCCTGCCGCTGGTGATGCCCGGCCCACTCTGGGAGGACGGGCTCCCAAATGCCCTTCAGTCCCCACCTTTTCCTCTGGCACTAGCTCTACTCCTGGAGCAGCTCTTCCCTCTCAGTGCCCACAAATCCCTCACGCTCTGCCCAGTTCTCATCCTATTGCTCCATGTCCATATGCCTTGGCCTCAGTGAGCTAGGCCTTTCCAGAGACCACTGACACTTTAGAACGGGGGGCTAGGACCTGCCCCAGAGGTGGGTGCCTTCCACTCCAGTGCTTGGCAGTTGAGGGTCTGGTGGATAAGGAATGGACCCATGGATTCTCTAGACACTGTAGGGCAGGGAGAAAGCTGGTTTTTGTTTTGTTTTGCTTTCTGAGACAAGATTCCACTATGTAGCTCTGGTTGGCTCAGAACTTGCCATGTAGACCAGTGGGGCCTTGAATTCGGAGACTGCCTGCCTCTACCTCTCAAATGCTGCCAGCATGCCTGACAAGAATATCTTTGCTGGGGTGGGAATGCAGGGATGCAGGGGGTCTGCAGCATCTCCAAACTGCTTCAGGATGGAGCCTGCTGTCAGGACTTCCCCTGGAAACCCAGACAGCTCCTACCACATCCTTACTAGGCACAGGGGCAGGTAGGGATGTGAACCCTGTGCTGCTCAATACTCAAGTGCAACAATGGGCACCTCAGGTTAGAGGCCACTCTACTTCCACAGGTGTGGGCCAGCTCAGAGGCCCTTTGTCACTCTGGAGCCACCCAGTCCCTTCCCTGTCTGGAACAACCATAAAGCCACACAGCAGGCAGCCCATGCTCACTGGCTTTGTCTACAGCAGCCTGCTGAGGGCCCTGCCCCAGCCCTGTGCTGTGAGTGGGCAGCACAGACACCCAGGGCACATATTCATAGGGAGGCATGCACATCCCTCAGCTTCACCCAGCATGCTGGGAATCATACCTACCACCTGCAGAGTTCCTGACCTACTGCAGCGGGCAGTGGACTGAACTTAGCAGGCCAGCTGCTGGCACAAGGCAAGGGCTCTGGGAAGAAGTAGGGTGGCAGGCTCCAACCAAGGAAGGTGCAGGAAGCCCACAGACAGGAATCTAATTGTCTCGTGCTGTCCAGATGTCACCTTGTTCCTTTGTTGTTCCTGGCCTGTTCCTTTGGACTCCCTGGGCAGTGACAGATGGACCTTCCAGACTGCTGTGTGCTCTGTATCCATGGTGAATGTCACATGAGAGCTCTCTCTACTGTAACCTGGGGAGCTGGGGTGAAGCACCATGCTTGGGGAATCAAAGATCCTGTTCTAGTCTACAAACCACTGTTGTGCAGCCAGTGTCAGCCTGGCATCCCTGGCTTTTTCCAACAAGGCCTGTGGAGTTGTGGGTGCCCTGTGACCAAAAGCCTAAGCAGAGCCTTGTGTGCCTACTGTGTCGGTTCAGAGGTGGGATACACCTGCCTCCGCAGGCCACAGTCCAGCCCAGGGAGCCCAAAGCCAAGCCTCGTGGCCCACAAGGCCTGTCTGCTGCCCACTGGAATTGCTCTCCCTCATTCTACCTCCAGAGAACAGACCCGAGTGTCCTCCAGCCTCTGAAGGCCGGGTCACTCGAGGCCCTCCTGTAGCAGGCACTCTTAGAATATCCCTCAACTGGACTCTTACAGATGGTTTGGCAGCCCACCAGAATCTGCTCTTGTGCCCCCAGAAGGCATAACACCTGAAGGAAGGGTCTTCCTGAATGACAGGTCGGTCCCTATTCCCACTAGCCACGGGGCCTGGACCTGGGACTGTATTCAAAGCTCCCAAGAACTTGCAGGCACCATCTGAGAATCACCCAGGGCACCTGGGGAGGACTCCTGGGGCCGGCTGCCTGCGCTCTGCAGGTGCCTCAGAAACAGGGCGCAGCTTGCCACCACCTGACAGTGAGGTGGGGGGCTCTGTAGAGCCCCGCGGACCACCGGCAGCCCAGGTGCCCACCGGGGCGGGACTCACGGCGGGGGCGTCCGTCGAGGTGTAGCGCAGGATGACCTGGAAGGGCTGGTGCGCCTGCAGCTCGGGCGGCAGCGTGACTGTGAGCGAGGAGCCGTAGTCGGTGAACGGGTCCAACCTGAAGGCCAGCGGGCAGTCGGCGGACTCCGCGCCCGGGGCGTCGGGGAAGGCGGGCACCGGGGGTCCCGATCCGGGGGCGGGGAAGGCGAAGGCGCAGGGCGACCCCGCGGCAGCCGGGGCGCGGCGGAAGGAGGCCGAGTGCAGGCGCAGGGCCGGGTGCGCGTCGAGTACGA